GGGGAGGGGCGTGAGGGGCGTGAGGGCTCCACATGAATTCTGATGATGAAAACTGGCGTCATCTTAGATGGGTGAGAAAGGGAAGGAGAAATGAAGGGAAGGGCCGCACGGAACGCCCTTGCAGGGCGTGAGAGAGACGGAGACGCAAGGGAGACGGAGATAGGAAAGGAGAGAGTGAACCCGTCGCGGAAGGTGCGGAGCGTTAAGAAAGAGAGAGAAGGGGGAAGAGGAGTAGGGGCTATAGGGGTGTGTGTATACGTTCAGAGTACGCCATCGGCCTTGAAATAAATCCTCTCAGCTGTAAGGCCCAAGATACCACTGTATGCACGCCATAGGCGGCCATATAGGCCTCCTCCCCCCCGGTTTGTCCTCTCTCTCCCTTCGTGTTTTTAGGGCGGTGCAGCAAAGCGTAGCCCAGTGCCGTGCTGTGCACATAACGAAAGTCGAGCAGACTGTGGGGGGACTTCTTGAAAACCATGCCGTTAAACGAAATAAATTTTTTTAAATGTTTAAAATTTTAAGATTGTGTGTGTTTGTGTGCTCGTTTGAGTAACTTAACGACGTGGCTGTGACGTTTTAGACTCTGGAAAGTACGCACTAAGCAAAAGCTTACAGCGAATGCCATCGTGAGTTACAGTGATGCCTGCAGCACTGCAAGCAGTTACGATGAAACACAACACACTTTTAGTAACGGCAAAAGTTGCACAGTAACGTTACGGGGATAGAACTTGCATCCGGTTGCACAGTAATTTACTGTGAAACTCTTCGGAAGCACTCAACAGTGCGGCTGCTGTCAAGCCAGGTGGCAGAGTGGCACTGAGCCAACGAACGGCTGGCCCCGACTTCTCTCCCACTCGACGTCAATGGCAGACGTACCTTCGGTAGTGGTCCATACCACATGCGCCGAAAGCTACGGGGGTTGCGCCGCGGTCTCATTCCACTAAATAACCTACGAGGCTCCTATAGTCATTATTTTCTACTGCGCTCTGTTGTTACCTCTTTCTCTCTCTCTCCCCCAGACTGCTCGACCGCTCTCGGAGGCGAGGCCAGAGGCTGAGGGCCCCTCGGCCGCCCCGCGCCCGGCGCCGCCCCGCCCCGCCTCGCCCCGCCCTGCACAGTGCTCAGTCAAAGAGTCACGGGTGAGCAGCACTACGAGTGCGGTAGTTACTCTTGTCTTTGTGAATAGCTCATTAGACCTTCCAGAAGGAAACTATATGCAAATTTCGTCGGTTTTGTTACTGTTCTTTTGTTTTCTTTTTATGCCGGGCCCAGGGCTTGAGAAATTCGTTTTGCACAGCACAGTCTACGAAGTAGAATAGAGTATCCAAACACTTATAAGTGCTGTCAAATCTCACAAGACAATTGAATGTCACGCACAGAAAATGTGTGACATCCATGCCATTTGTTGAAAATTATGTCACAAAACCGAGAATGTCGCGAACTCAAAGTAGTGGGTGAGTGATATGTGATGATATGGTCATCAAACACTCCACATTTGTGTGAGCCAATTTTAAGTGTTTGGTTGTCACTTGCATTTTACACAGCGCTGTATGTATTTTTTCTTTTTATTCTTTGTGGTTTCACCTAACGTGATATTGGGGTGAGAGGGTGGGGGGCTGTTTCTCGGCGCCACCATACCAGCGCGAATAAACCATTTAGAACAGTCCTCTTTGCTTTGAGTATACCTCCCCGTTCACTTAAGGCTCCAATGTACCTGGAGTAACGCCCCGGTGGTGGAGGGCGCTGCGCGGTGGGAGTGCCATCCCGATCGCGCAAAGTTTACCCGTCGCTTTTAGTTCGCTTCTTATCATGATGTGGGCCAGCTTGCAGGCCCCGGCTATCAGGCGCCCCGCGTCCGCCGATATGGCTGCACCCGGCGAGCGCGACAACCAGTGTTACGCAAAACCTGCGTGGGGTTCGTTCACAAACTTTGATTAAAATTCGGGCGCGAAAATAGAATTAGAACCGCCCTATTTAGCTCCTGCGAATGGACGAAGAAGTGGACGTTTCTGTGTTTGACCTTACAAATGTTTTGCGTCGTGTTGCAGATGCTGGCGCAGTTGGCGGGCCTGGCCGCCCTGTGGTTCATCATGTGGCAGGTGTCGGCGCTGTCGGAGCTGTCGGATACCGTAGACATGTGAGTACATTTGTCGGTTGCTATTCAATACAAAACACGCCAATACGGAACAAAAGTACGTCATAATGAATGCCAACATAATGTGGGCGACAACGGTTTCGAGAAGTTGTCACGTACGTTTTTGCAGGTAAAATTATGTCCCCTTAAATAGAAATGGTCACATGAAACCACCACGCATTCTTGGTATAAAATAATACAGTATTATTATATTAATATAATAGAATTTTGAAATTTTGCGGTGTCGTATAGACACTCCGTCTCTGCCTCACACTTTCTCATAATGACCCGCCGTTCGCTCCTGCTGCGATGTTATATTTAATTCACACGACTGATTAACTATGCATCGCCCGAGCAGTGGCGTGAGCGTGGGGCCGGCCAGAGCGGCAGGAGGGGGGGGGCGCTTTAGCGGAGAGGGGAAGAGAGAGCTCAGCTGTACAAAAATAAATTATAAGTATATAGATCGAATTGACTAGACGTACCACAGCCACACCAATTATTATCATCATCGTATCGTATTATTCGTTGCTGCTGCTGCTGGTCGTGTTGCCTGGCTTAGAGCAGGGAACTGGCGGGGAAAATGTTAATGTTAATAGGCGCTGCTGCGGTACGATGATGGGAGGGCAGAAGGAGAGCAGCGTTGGGAGAGCAGCCCCTCTCCCCGGCCGGCGATAACGCTCATCACTCCGGCTCCATTAGGGTTGATTGTTTGGCGCTGATTATCGACGGGGGCCGCGGAGGAGGGGGGGGGGGGTATGAGGCTGTGGCGGGTACCGGAGTCGGGGTCCAGTTGAGTGGTTCCAGACGGATCGGGGAAACTATCCGCACAGCAGCTTGCCAGGTTGTGCCAGTTCGCGTGCTAGTGTGGCAGTGAAGGCGTCTGCCGCTCGGCCTGGGGCCTGGGGCGACACGGCGTGCAGGCAGGCAGCCCTGTGCTGCCCCGCGGGGCCGACAGCCGCTTCACATCCGAACTGAAACATGATCGCGCTCTGACGTCGGAGCAGAGAACGCCACTTCCAGTCGGTTATCCTGGAAGGCCCTTATACCGCCTGGATGAGGCGGACGGCACAGTATACTGGGATCTGCTGGGCTCAGTCAGCGACAGGCTGCCTCACCTGCTGACGGCCAGCGTCGGCGGGTTGCCTCGGTGGACGGCTAGCGGGGCCAGGCTGCGTTCCCTTCTGCCAGGCAGCGGAGCTCTGGATATTTAGCGCGAAGTCTATAGCAACATAGAACAAAACAAAACTAACGCTTTCTTTTCTTGTTTTTCAGATTCGACGACGGCAAGTCAGACAAAGAAATTTTGGACGATCTATTAAAAAACTCACGCTATGACAAGAGACTGTTACCACCGGTTTCGGGTAAGTGCAGATTGTGAGTCGCTCTTTTTTTTTGTAAAGGGATAGAGTCAGTAAGCTCGGGTTGGAAGGGAGGAATCGATGTAAGAAACAAATTGGAGGATCCGAAAAAAATCGTCGCGTTCTTTTAAAAACGTCAAAGAGATAAGTGGGGATGGGGCGCAGGGTCCTGCAGGTCGATCAGTCAGCCCGGAGCACCCCCGCCTCCTCTCGGAATGACTAAATCAGGGCCCGTTCGGCCAAGCGTGTCGCTCCTCGTCCAATTGGCCTCGTCGTCTTGTCCTCCTGCCGGGGTCCTCGCGAGGGGAGGGGGGGGGGGGCAGGCCTCGCGGGCGGACGCGCCGCCGGGCATGTCGCGCTGCGCCGAAATGATGTTTACCTTTCCTGGAGACCGTCGACTTCAGCTGTAAACGTCGTGATGGATGCGATTCCGACCGCGCGCAGGGGAGTGGAAGGGGAAGGGGGTGTATCTGGGATGGCGAAATAACTGACTGCAGAACAACACGTTGTTCTGAGTATAAGCTTGAATAAGCTTGAACCCATTCAATGTATGTCAGATTTAACCGGATTTTACCCCCCCCCCCTTCTTTTTAATTCTTAATACTTTCGATTACAGTTACTTACATGGTGCGCCAAAGCCAGTCGGCCATCAGGGCCTGTGGCGTGGCGTAAGAGATCATCCAAAAAGTACATCCGACATTTCCCGTCACGAAACTTTCAAGCGCAGCCCATGCAAGCGCTGATAGCGCCTGATGGATAGGCAATATCTAGCCTGCAGTGCATGCGTGTACTGCTGGGTGGCCTACTCTGAGTATCGCAGGCGCTCAGCTTCCGTTTGCCGAATGAAACTGGGAAAAACGGTCATACTTTCTAGATGAACCCTACACCCAGAAAATCGTTTCCTTGAAAAAATACAAGAACATTTTTCTTTTGTTCCAAAAGAATTTTCTGGGTGATCAAAAAGGAATCCTTATGCTTAATTTAGGTCACCTTCTTTGACCCAAGGTTATTTTCAAGGAAATTCCCTAGTTCCAAGGAAACGATTTTCTAGGTGTAAGCTACTTCGCGCGCGCATTGATATCCGCAGCCGCAGCGTAGAGCATGGGCTTCGTGGAACTGACATAAAGAATTCCTCGACAGTTTTTCCCAGAGACTCATGTCTTGTTTGTCCGGTGCGACGCCCTGCGTATACGGCACAAAGCAGTCTGTGACCCGAGCGGTGCCATTCACACTCCTTCTCAAAACTATGTGGAACTATGGGACCGACTGGCGCGTCGTCGAATGGGCTCTATTTGCACTAGACGGCTTTAGGCACGCACACAGACGAGGTTAGAGAGAGTGAGACTGGGGAATGAGAGTGAGAGAGAGGCCACGCTGCCCTGCCTCATGGCGTTGAGGTGAGATGCTGATGAGCAAGATTTGGCGTCAACTGGGGAGAGAGCGATGGGTATGAGCCGACCCTCCTCGTCGGCCTATGAGGCCGGCATGAGGGAGAGACAGAGGAGAGGGGGGGGGGGAGGTCGAAAGCAGGGGATGTCGGCGCGTCGACAGCGTCGGTTTAAAAGGCTTAGCCGCTGCCCGGCCCGCACTGCGAGCCGTCTTTGACTTTGACTTGAGCCCCCCTTCCTTACACCCCCCGCCTACCTCGTTTCTCCTCACCCCCGCGACCGCCTCCGTTCCTCCTTCTCAGCGAGGATTTTGGTTTACTTCTGAATAGCGGCCCCGCCTCGCCCCGCCTCGCCTCGCCCCGCCCCGCCACAGACCATTAGCGACACGGCCATATTGTTTTACGCGTTTATTCTTCTTTCCCCGCCCGAAAAGTCCGCCGTGTTCCACAATGGGGCGGCAATGCGCCGCCAGCCGGGAGGCGGAACAGAAAGGGAGAGCCGGGGGGGGGGGGGGGGGGGGCAGGCATTTAATAATTGACCTGATGCTTGCCCTCCCTCTGCTCTCCCGAGAGCGGCATCCGAGCGGGAGTGGAGGAGGGGGGGGGGGGCAGGTGTCACGGCGGTGTCGTCCAAACGATTAGAGCTGTCACAGCTGAGCTTTTCTCCAGGCCTCCACCAGCATGAGGCTGAGGCAGCTGCCTGCTCCCGCCCTATAGGGCCGGGGAGAGTGGAGGAGATAAGAGGGGGAGGGGGGGT